TCAATACTTGCTAGCTATTATTACTATTTTCTTTTTTTTAAAGATTTTATTTATGTATTTGAGAGAGACAGAGCACGAGCAGGGGGAGCAGCAGGCAGAGGGAGAAGCAGGCTCCCCACTGAGGGGGGAACCCAACTTAGGGCTGGGTCCCAGGACCCTGGGTTTATGACCTGAGCTGAAGGCAGATGCTTAACCGACTGAGCCACCCAGGCACCCCTATTTTCATCTTTTTGTTGCATAAGCTACTGAATACCTATGCTTTCAGGGTAATGTTCTTCAAAGTACAGTTCCTGAACCACCAGCATCAGAATAAACTGTTAAGATAGATGAAGAGTGCAGGTTCCTGGGCTCCTTCCTGGATCTAGCAAATCACAGTTTCTAGAGTAGAGCTAGGAAATTTACATTTGAAAAATATATCTCCCAAATGATTGGTCATTTTTTAAAAAGATATTGAGACATAACACACATACGATAAAATTCACCCATTTAATGTATATAGCTCAGTGGTCCTGGTACATTCACAGAATTGTACAATCTGATTTTAGAACATTTTCATCATCCTGAAAAGAAATCCTATACTCATTAACAGTCATTTCCTATTCCCTATCCCCCCAGCCACCTCAGCCTTGGACAACCACTAGTCTGCTTTCTGGCTCTATAGATTTGTCTATTCTGGACATTTCGCATAAATGGAATTATAAAATATGTGGGCTTCTGTGTTTGGCTTGTTTTACTTAGCATGTTTTCAAGGTTCATCTATGTTGTAGCATGTATGAATACTTTTTAAATTTTACCCAGGTATAGTCCATTGAATAGATAGACCACATTTTGTTTATCCATTCATAACAAGCAGAATGGATATTTGTCTTGTTTCCACTTTTTAGGTATTATAAATAATAACTATGAACAAGCTATGGACAGTCATGTGCAAGTTTTTGTGTGGATATATGTTTCATTTCTCTTGAATATTAACTAGGAGTGGAATTGCTGGGTCACATGGCAACTCTAGGTTTAACATACCGAGGAACTGCCAAACCTTCTTCCAAAGTGCCTACAGCATTTTACATTCCCATCATGAGGGTTCCAATTTCTCCGCTTCCTTACCAATGCTTGTGATTATCTGCCTTTTATTATAGCCACCCCCATGGGTGAGAAGTAATATCTCATTGTGGTTTTGATTTGTATTTTCCTAATAACTAATACTGTTGGGCATTTTTCACATCCTTATTGGCCATTTTTGTCTCTTTTTGGAGCTATGTCTATTCCAATCCTTTGCCTACTTTTTTAAGGCTTTTATTTTGAAGTAATCTCTACATCCAATGTGGGGCTCAAACTTACAACTCTGAGATCAAGAGTCACATACTCCATCAACTAGGCACCCCATCCTTTGCCCATTTTTTTTTTTAAGATTTTATTTATTTATTTGACAGAGACACAGCGAGAGAGGGAACACAAGCAGGGGGAGTGGGAGAGGGAGAAGCAGGCTTCCTGCCGAGCAGGGAGCCTGATGAGGGGCTTGATCCCAGGACCCTGGGATCATGACCTGACCCAAAGGCAGACACTTAACAACTGAGCCAACCAAGCGCCCCTCCTTTGCCCATTTTTAAAAATGATTTATTTATTTATTTATGAGAGAGAGTGTGCATGAGCAGGGGTAGGGTCAGAGGGAGAGGGAGAGAAATCCTCAAGCAGACTCCCGTTGAGCACAGAACCTGACTCAGGGCTCTATCCCAGGACCCCAAGATCATGACCCAAGCGGAAATCAAGAGTCAGCCGCTCAACCAACTGAGCCACGCAGGTGCCCCCTCTGCGTGTTTTTAATTGGATTCTTTATCTTCTATTATTGAGTTATAAAAGTTCTCCATATATTCTGAATGAAAGTCCCTAATCAGATATATGATTTGGAGATATTTTCTCCCATTCTGTGGGTTGTCTTTTTACTTCTTGATGGTTTCCTTTGGAGCACAAGTTTTTAATTTTGATGAGATCCAATTTCTTTCTTTCTTTCGTTGCCTGTGCTTTTTGTGTTGTATCTAAAAAACCATTGCCTAACTCAAGGTCATGGAGATTTACTCCTAGGTTTTCTTCTAGGCATCTCATAGTTTTAGGTCTAATATTTAAGTCTATGATCCATTCAAACTCATATTTAAGAAGTCTACCTATAATGGCTTTTCCCAAAGACAATCCTCACCCTAAGAAGATTTTTTTTTGAATATTCATCATAGCTTTATTCACAATGGCTAAAACCTGGAAACTACACAGATATCCATTAATAGGTGAATGTACAGACAGGATATATCCATACAGAGGAATACTACTTAGCAATAAAAAAGCCTGAACTAGTGATACCTGTAGTAATATGGATAGATTTAAGAATCCTTAAGCTGCACAAAGGAATGTAGGCATAAGAGTTCCTTTAATGTTGTTAAAAATGCAAGCCCACCTATAGTGCTGGTGGTTGCCTGGGGCTCAGGGTGGAGGCAGAGATAGACTGCAAAGGGACACAAGGGAAGTTGTGAGGTAGAGGAAATGCCCTGTGTCTTGAATGGAGCAGTAGTTTCATTTGTATGTATGCTGTGAAAATGCATTTAATTGTATAGTTTATTTTTTTTAATTTTTATTTTTTTGAGAAAGCACTCAGACTGCATCCTCTCCCGCTTACTCCTCCAAAGGAGGAGAAGAATGATCATCGATGGCAATTTGTAGTTGTGGGAACAACACCTACAGCCGGCTTCATGGGGTGCCTGGGTGGCTCAGTCGTTAAGCGTCTGCCTTTGGCTCAGGTCATGATCCCAGGGTCCTGGGATCCAGCCGGCATCTGGCTCCCTGCTCTGCAGGAGGCCTGCTTCTCCCTTTCCCACTCCCTCTGCTTGTGTTCCCTCTCTCGCTGTCAAATAAAAAATATATATATTTTTTAAAGATTTAATTATTTATTTGACAGAGAGACACATCTCTTCAACTACTCAAGTCTCATAAAGGCGGGGGTGGGGGGAATTTTGTCACTGCAATATTCCCCAACACCCAGTATAGGACCAGGGGATATAGTAATCTTTTAAAAATATACACTTGACTACGTCACTTTTTGGTTTAAAATCCTCCAATGGTACTTGGATTACACTTTGAATAAAGTCCAAATTCCCAACCATGGCAAACAGGTCCCTACCTGATTGGCCACTATCTGCCTCTCCACCCATACCTTCTACTACTCTCTCCACTTGGAACATACTTGTTTTCTTTCCCAAACACATCTTGCTGTTTCCTGAATCTGTCTGTTTCTTCCACTTGTCAGCTCTGATTAGTTTCTCATCCTTTGGGTCTCAGCTCAAATGTTTCCTCTTCCCAGAGCCTTCCCTGACCGCCCTGTCCTGTGTTACCAACATACTTCCACCATCTTTTTTTTTTTTTTTTTTTAAGATTTTATTTATTTGAGAGAGAGAGCGGGTGAGCACACAAGCGGGAGGAGGGGTAGAGGGAGAGGGAGAAGCAGATTCCCTGATGAGCAGGGAGCCAAGGCGGGGCTCCATCCCAGGACCCAGGGATCACAACCTGAGTGGAAGGCAGCTGCTTAACCGATTGAGCCCCCAAGAACCCCCCACCAAGTTATTCTTGATCATACAACCTGTTCCATCTTATTCACAGACGTGAAATTTCCTTATATATTTAATATTAATTATTATAGCTAACACTTAATTACCATAAGCACTTTTCATACATTAACTAAGTGGTGTGCTACTTAATGCTTATCAATAAGCTCTCCAAAGTCCAAAACTCTGATTTGTAGTGCTTGCTGATTTCTGTGTGTAAACACTCTCCTCAGGGAGGGTTTTCAAGCTATCAAACTGACGTCAGTGAACACCAGTTTGGGAATTGACGTGCAGTAGCACACCATTATACAGTATTTGCCATAGTAATATAGTAGTGATAAATAACCTCAAGAGCACAGATAAAACAAAAATGTAGTAAAATAATTAGGAAGTAATTTGCATATTTATTACCTTGTTTTAATATTGTAAGTCTATATAATTTAATTCTTGATAATTGTGTTTATTTTTTTATTTTTAAGATTTTATTTATTTATTTGACAGAGAGAGACACAGCAAGAGAGGGAACACAAGCAGGGGGAGTGGGAGAGGGAGAAGCAGGCTTCCCGCGGAGCAGGGAGCCCGATGCGGGGCTCGATCCCAGGAACCTGGGATCATGACCTGAGCCCAAGGCAGACGCTTAGGCGCCCGGATAATTGTGTTTAAAAGCGACCTGCAAAATTTCTAAGCATTCCTCAATCATTTCTAGAGAGTCCATAGGGACGGGCGGGCTAACAACCAGCATATTTTTCAGATGAGGAACCTGAGGCACAGAAAGGTTGGCTGCAGACCAAATAAATCTGTCTACTACTCCAAAATGTATTTTCAGAACCCAATATAGTGCCTGGCATATTATTTGACAGAGAGCGAGAGAGCACAAGCAGGGGAAGCGGCAGAGGGAGAGGGAGAAGCAGGCTCTCCACTGAGCAGGTAGCCCCATGTGGGACTCGATTCCAGGACCCTAGGATCACGACCCCAGCGGAAGACAGACGCTTAACCGCTTAAGCCACCACTGAGCCACCGAGGCGCCGCATAAATAAATCTTAAAAAAAAACCACCAACAAAAAAAACCCTTTAAAAACAAAAGGGAAACATCCTAACATTAAAAGCATTTACACAACTGCTCGCTTCCGCAGCACATATACTAAAAAAAAAAGGCATTTACACAAGAGTGAAATTAACAACTCTTCAAAACTTGCTCACTACCCTAGGAAGATACGCCTTCACTAGTCCACTTTCGGCCTCACCCAGCGCTTTTACAATATACCTGCTATCTTAGGACACTCCGCCCAACCCTATGCCGGCTCTACATCGCCCCGCCCCGTCTTACCGCAAGGCTTCCTGGGAGCGGTAGTCCCCAGTCTGGGTGCTCCCGCGGCAGCAGCAAGGCTCACTTGACCGCGGAACTACAGAGGGTGGCGCACAGGTCGGGAGGCTTTTCCGCCTCGCGTTTCCCTCCCGCCTGCGCGCCCGCCCCAGCTATCATGGCGGCTCCCTTGGCTCTGGTGGTGGTGGTGGCCGTGACCGTGCGGGCGGCCTTGTTCCGCTCCAGTCTGGCCGAGTTCATTTCCGAACGGGTGGAGGTGGTGTCCCCACTGAACTCTTGGAAGAGAGGTGAGGCCACTGGCTGGAGTAGGTGGCTAGGCCCCGCCTGTGCTCTCCTGGCCTCAGTGAATGGGAGGCGGGGGCAATGGCCTTAAGCTCAAGATTCTGAGGGAACTGACCCGCTCTGGCGTCCTCGGGGAGGGCAGGAGGGCGGGGCCCGAGGGCGGGGCTGCCAAAGGGAGGGGGCGAGGGACTGTGGGGCGAGCTTTGGGCCCTAGGGGCAGGCACAGGAGCGGAGGGGAGTTGAGGGGGTGTGTCCCCCTCGGGTCCTGAGCAGAGGGGCGTGGTCTGAGGAAAGATAGGTATAAGGAAAGGGAATGCTTAATGGAGTGGGAGTTGCAGAGGGGATTGGGATTTGATGAGGTATCGCAGGTGGTACTCCCTGGGGTATGGTATGGTGTGTGAGGGGGACCCCCAAGTGAGGGGACCAATCTTGCCTAAGCGAGTAGAGTGTGTGAATGTGCTTTGACTCCTGTTCTCAGTTTGGGACTTGCAGTGCACCATTTCTTAGTGTTTTTTCTTAAGTTCTTCATCAGGCGCTGTTTTCTACCAGCGCCTACAGTGAGATAGAGTTTATGCTGAAGGATCCACAGACTAGTGGGGGAGACAGTTATAATCCTTTTTGAAAAATGTTCTTCCTGTGTACATCCAGTTTCTTCCTTGGAGTTTCAACCCTGAAGAAAGTGTCCTCTCCTTTTCCAGTTTCCTAAGGCTGTGGGCTCTGAGCTAACTGTTGAAGGATGTAGAATTTGGAAAGGGAGATTAGAGAAAGGAGAGTTCTAGGTAGCCGAAGGTAAACAGGATCAAGAAAATGTTGAAGAGTGCGAAATGTAAAAATTGGGGGAGTAATGGGGCACGGGTTAGGTTAGGGCCAGAATTTATTTTATTTTATTTTATTATTTTTTTTTAAAGATTTTATTTATTTGAGAGAGAAAGAATGAGACAGAGAGAGCA